GACAGACATACAGACAAACATACAGACAGACATACAGACAGATACCAGGGCCGGAGGCTGCTTCCGCAGAGCGGTGCGGCCGAAGTACCGTGTTTGAGGGGGGTGTGGGGTCCTCCCCCAGAAGATTTTTGGAATTTAGACGGCAAATCCTGCACTCTGGGCGACTCCCTGTACAAAATCATACATCGAAAAACTTTATCTCCCTGGTTTTGGACGTTCCACGTGGACGGAATTTTTGGGAAGTTGGTACGGCCATGGCCGTACCAGTGGCGCCGGCCCTGAGTCAGGGTCACACAGACAGCTATCTGCTAAGGGTCAGTGTACACCGGAAAAGTAGTCGTCTGCGAGACGTGCTCAGCATCCGGGATCCACTGCTATTTTTTCGTAAATACGAAATTGTAGTGCGTGCAAGATCAATCTTCCACATGAACAGAGCATAGCCGAGTGGTTTCTTAATTATTAATCCTTGTAGGAGCACGTGAACTTTGCTTACACGTCAGCATAGCCGCGTCAGTATAGCCGCGTCTGCATAGCCTTGTCAGCCACTGAGAGGTTGTCACAAAAGCTGTTTTGCCGACCTTGAAACGGACATCGTTCATTAGGGTGGGAGGGGTGCGAGCCAAAATTGCAAGTCGACCGACACTGCACAACATGTGCATGTGCATGCGTGCAATTTGCCAGTTCCAGCATGCACACTGTGAAAATTTCGAATTTCGGGGGGGGGGGCAGAGTATGAAATGAACGATATTCGATTCCGGAACGACGAACAAATGTTCTGCGACTAACCGTAAGTTTCGTAGTTTTGTCCCAGTCTTTTTGCAGGATTGAGCATTTCCAGTACACGATCACAAAAAATTGGAAGTGATTTTTTGTAAAATGGGATACGAAACCAGATGATACTAATTTTAGCAGTTGAGGGAATAGAAACCCAATGATGGCAATTCTTGAGGACCTACTTGGAGTAGAATCAGTCCAATGTGCATTTCCAATGCAGGCGGCACAGAACACATAAGTATGGCTGGTAGCACAGAATGCACAGCTCAAATTATTATGCGCTCATTGATTCAACAACAATGCGCTGCTTTCTCAGTCACTATTTCCGAGCTGGAATTTAGTTGTTTGCACGCACGTGCAATCTTTCCGAGCGCATATCGCAGGAGAGTGTCAATATTGCTTCGATCATGACCGGCTTCTACGCGTCACCCATAGGTCAGAGTAGACTGGAACGCACATTATTCACTACTACTTACTAGTACTACTACATTGGAAAGGCTTCCTGTCTGAAGCCTTTCCATACTGGTACTCGATGTTCCAGTTTTGTGAGACGAGAATGGCACGAGATTTAGTGTACCGCTGAGTGTACCGCTATACACGTGGTCGACACGTTATCGACACGTTGTTGATACTTTTTTGACACGTGACCCCGTCAGCGGTCTGCTTTGTGCCAATGCCACTCGGTAAACGCCGATGTCGCGTGACGTGACGGGAAGGAGAACTACACTTGCTGTTGTTTGGCTTTTATTTGGAGCTACCGAAGTCGACGAAGTCGAACGAGGACGACCCTTTCCGTATCCCGTACTTCAAAGTGCCATTCATGGATATCTTCTGCACCTGGAACGGCCCCGTAAACGCTGTCGCGTGGGCGGACTGAATGCGCAGGGCAAAAAGAATTGCTGCAAAGACGTCCGCTCTAGGCCTTTGGAGACATTGTGGGAACTCCTTCCGGTACCCCCGTATCGCAAAGTGCCATTGATGAATGTCTTCTGCAACTGGAACGGCCCCTTAAACTCTGTCCCGTCCGCCAACTGAATGCGTAGGACAAAAAATATTGCTTCTGCAAGTTTCTGGTGTATGGTGGCCACTTCTTTGCTTGTCACTTTGTATAATATTACATTCTGTATTCGCTGCTTCCATGGCGTGGTCTGCAAACTGCAGTCCTTGGGCAAATGTCATGTTTGCTATGTTGTGCTTTGGCCGTCAGCTTGTCTACACGTTGTACTGTAAGACATGTATATATAACGAGGAAGCAAATCTAACGTTTTAACGGATGACATTTCTTCGTTATAATAAGATCCGTTGAGGCCGTACTGCTTCATATATGCTGTGTGTGGATATGGCAGAATACTGCAAGATCGTTAACATATTATTATTATTTAATAGACACAATCTCATAGCATATCTTCTCGTTAACCTTTGAATTTTGGATAATCGTTAAATTTGCGCCTCGTTATAATAACATGTCTTACAGTAGTTGAATTATTTTGTTTCACAACTGACTTCCTCAAGTACGGTGGCTACTGCTTTGCATGGCATTATACATGAAGAATTTCATTTCCTGTTTGTGTCGTGTGCATGTGCGTATGTGTGCGTGTCTACGTGCGTGTGCCGTGTGCATACGCATGTTTGTGTATCTGTGTGCGGGGTAGCGAGGCGGGGAGGGCTGGTATGTATCAGTGTGTTATTGCAGTCTCATGGCTACATACAGTACATCCCGCGCGTGGTCATCATGTTTACCTTCGGGGTTGGGGTGGGGAGGGAACGGAAAAAGAACTGAAATTATCCGTATAAACACCGCTCTGTGAGCGGTTCTGAAAAACCTTTACTGGTGCTGCCCTGTCGTAAAAGTTAGAAATTAGAACTGGCCCATTGTCCCTCCAAATGCGAACTGATCCACCTAAATCGCGAATGACGGGACCTGAACGCACCAGTAGCACGAGGTTCCTACCTTTGGATGCAGATGGGGCCGTTGGTCCGGACCATAGGCCATGTAGAGGGGACGGCTCGATACCGGGACGCTTTGACAGCCAAATTTGTATAGACCCAAACCGATCATCAGCGTTGATTTTTCACTCGAAATATGTTTGTGGAAGGAAACTGGCATGTTGAAGTTTGCTCTGGGGCCAGAGTCAATAGAACTGAGCCACTCCTTTGTGTTGACCCATTGCCTCCAAGTTGCCCAATTTTTCGCTTCAAAAAAGTTCAAATCAGAAGTGGCTCCAAACCGGACAAGTTTTAGAGTGCACGTCAAATTCACTCTGGGTCTGAAATTAGGTAATTGCTATCGCTCCACGACGGCCAGTACAGAGTAACAATAAGCCTTGTGTGTGCTTCCATTAGTTTTCATTGGTATGCGGTGCTTTATTGGCGAGAGGCGAGCCGCTGTTTACCTGCGACAAGAAGTTGTTTTTTCGAAAGTCGTAAAACTCAAGTCGCAGTGCAAAGCAACACGTCAAAAACTCACCTGCTTTGTATGGCGCTTCTGGTCATTGCAGAGCCATGAAATTTTGGCTCGGAGTATAACACATCGTAGTCTCACTGTGACATATGAGCCCGAGCGCGCTAAAACATGACCGCAGCTTTTTTTGAAAAAGTCGAGATAATCGCGATTTGAATTCCGCGGCAAAAAATACGAAGTGCAGTGCAACGCGAGTCGCTGTTGTTGTTCTCCTCGGTCGACTGGACTGTTCCGGATGCAATTCTTTGCTGCAAGCTAGTTTATTTGTTTGAGTTTGTATTCCATGTTGCGCTGAGTCGCCTAAAACTGACTGTCATCGATGTATCGACAGAAGAGCCTAGTAGTAGTAATGTACTGCGGAGCGGAAGAAGACGACATCATCGCACTCCATGCGCAGGATAAAATATTTTGAGGATTCGGGTCGGAAACAGAAGGAAGACGATGATGGCTACAGCGACGAGTCATTTGAGGTTGACACTTTCATCGAGCGTAAAAAGAATTGATGCTGGTAGTCCCACGATCTGCAGTGACGAGGAATTTTACTCTGATGACAACCTGGCAAGCGATTGGCATCGACACTGACTTGGGAGGTGAGTCGGCCGATGATTTGGCCAGAATGGACATCGCTGCACATATCCGGAACAATGCCAGTATTGGTTGCAAGTGCAAAAACAATCAATGGACTCTGCTGCTCCCTCAACTTGCTCAAGTCGATAATTTGAGTACCCTTATGCGGAACATCGCTAGCATGAGCAGTATGCAGCGAAAGCAGTACTCTCTGGCGAGCGGAGAAAACCGTGTACAGATGGGCTTTGGTGTGGGGGATATGAGTGCGACGTCTAGTATGTTGAGGAAGACTGTGTGCAGCAGTGTATACTGTATATCTGAAAGTACAGGTGAAGTGTGATGGAGAGGACATGGAGTGCCAACTTCTTCGGCCAGCTACAGATGTTGACCGTGTTTTCGCTGGCGGTTCTCCAGTGGTGCTTCAAACAGGAGGTATTTCGGACACCCAGCTCAGCTGTCTATAGACAATTTGGATGTGGCTGAGTACCTGTCAGCTCATGCTATAAGACCCTGGACAGAGGAATTGACCCGTAAAGGATGAACCAAGGGGCATATCAATTGTGTGCAAAAATGACAATCCCATTGCTGTGCATAGAATTTCGCCGTTTCAACAGTGCTGCATATAATACCATTGTAGCAACACTTAGACATGTCCGATCAATCCAAAACTTTCAGACAGTGAACATTAGGTGTGTTAGATCATTTTTCAACAAACAACTGAAAATCGAATTTTTGGTCAGTGGTCATATTTTAGCGTGCTCTGGCTCATATGTTTTCTAATCAAAATACCAAGAGAGAAGGTGAATATTGAGTCCGTTCCGGTTTGCAACCTACCGTACTGGCAATATATGTTGCCGCGTAACGCAGGGGGGTGCGGCGTAACGCGCGACCAGGCTAGTGCGACAAATTTTCGTTGCGTTCGTAACGCGCGTCCGGCAGGGTGCGGCGATCTTTTCATTGCAGTTTGCAAAAAATGATGCGGCAATAGCAAAAAAATGATGCGGCAATAGCAAAAAAGTGATGCGGCAATAGCAAAAAAAGGACTGCGGCAATATAGAAACCTGTGTAACGGCTCCTGTGCGACTTTGCACGTAACGCCCTGCGTGCAGTAAACATGTGCCAATGTAACGCTTCATGGCCTCACTGCGACCATATATATTGCCAGTACGGTATGTCCTATTTGAAACCGTCCCCTCTACTGTACTAGCGGTAGGTGGTGTTACCCTATGATAATTGCTGTGATCCTGCGGCCTCCCGACCTCGTGCTACTGGTGCGTTCGGGTCCCGTCATTCGCGATTTAGGTGGATCAGTTCGCAATTGGGGGGACAATGGGCCAGTTCTAATTTCTAACTTTTACGACGGGGCAGCACCAGTAAAGGTTTTTCAGAACCGCTCACAGAGCGGTTTTTATATGGATAATGCTAGCATACTGAATGTCCATTGCAGTGCATCACTCACCCCTGGCGCTAAGGCGATTCAAACGGCAGGTGAAGGCCACGGTGGGCGAGAGGCAGCGAGTGAGTTGCAGACGCCTGATCAGCGCCGCTAAGTCAGTTGGCGCGGCTGAAGGCAGGAGTAAACAGTGGAGCCGCGTAGATCAATTCTTCTCTTCTTTCCACACCGTCACGATGTTTTTCTCAATACCCTACTTGAAGTAGTTGAAGCAACAATTTATAATAGTTCAAAATAGTTCGGCAACAACACTGCAACAGTCAACACTGGCTAAGTGCATGCAGGATCTAGGAACGACGAGTGCCTGTATGAGTGTATGTCAGTCCATTCCATAATAAGTGTGCACTTTTTTCCAGTCAAAGCCAAAGGGCCAACATGTTAACACCACACGCTGCACTCTTTTCCATCCAGTCAAAGGGGCATTATGTATTCCCCATGGATTCTACCAAGAGTACACATTGGTTTATGCACTCTAAGTTGGTAGCACACAATAGTTTCGCACAAAGTCTCCGATCGAGCCCCCCAAGCTGAGGGCCGGCCCGGCCCGCAAAAGATCTGCGATCGCTTGCAGATTATGATGCCTTTTATATCTTTCTCCCTAGTACTTGTACTAGTAGTAGTAGGCGACTCTAGCTAGTCTAGGCTAGATCGCGCCGCGGGGGTTTTTCTGAAGCGATGACATCACTGACACTAGATCTAGATTACCACAGCTACAGACATAACAAGCTTGAAGCAGCTAGACGAGTATTGCAGTTTGAGTTTCTAGCATTAGCACAGCAGGGCTCAAACGAGTAGTTCGGTTAACCGGTTGCAGACGGGTTACGATAACGGTTTATACGCAGTAACGTTTCTGTCAATTTTTCAAGTACTAGTAATCATGGTAATACTAATAGCAAGAGTACATAAACCTACTTTTTTGATTCTACATGTAGGCCAGCGCCAGCCTGACATGGGAATACCCCACGTGGATGCGTTGAGATGATCAATAACTAATAATTATAGTAGTACTAGTACCACACTGTAGTGTGAAGTAGTAGCGCCACACGTAGATCTACACTGGATCACGGTTCATGATCAACACTTCCAGGCATTATGCATATGCGCATGATTACATGCAGTAGATCTACACGTGACATGACCAGTGTTCGTGTCAGTGATGGCCCAGTGATGGGAAAAGGATCGCCTGGTGCGATCCAGTAGTACTACTAGTACTAGTACTAGTACTAATAGTGAGTATTAGTTACTCACTGTACTGTAGTGTAGACTACAGACAGTGTAGTCATGTAGTACTAGTAGTAGTGTAATACTACGGTAGTAGACCTACAACAAGTACAGACGACCCTCACATGACATAGTCATCATGGTCAGACTCATACTCTTCACCCCATTTTTTGAAATCGCGTTTTTTCCAGGTTTATCATCGGCAATCGATGGTGGTGGGTATCACAAGGTCACACAGAAAATTTTATTGAAATCCACAGTGATACCACTCAGATATGAAGGGTTGAAGATAGGCAGTTGGATGAGGCTAGATCAATATATTTGTGGCACCAACAGCATCTCCGAAGTATCATCAGAGGATATAGTCACAAAACATCAGAGTGTTTTTTTCAAGCACACATCACTCACTTACACCGACAACCCTGAATGGATCGAAACAATACAGATCAAAGTTCAGAATAGGCAAGAATACGGCAATTGTGACCGCAATCACTATAGCAACTCCATAGCAACCCATAGCAACGCCATAGTAACCCATAGTAACAGCTTCAGTTTGCTGTGAAATGAACTGATAACGACATACTGGCAGGCTCCAGCGGGTACAAAAGCGTAAGAGTTATAAAGACATTCTTCTGGCACAAAAACAACAGTGAACTTCCTCGTTGTACGCCGGACACCGCAACGTGGAGGGTATGTACGAGCGCGCGCGCGAATTACTGCACAGGACATTCGTGCTCACAGTCATGCCACTTCAAGTGATTCCAAGTTGGCAAGAAGTTCTTCAGGACCTCTGTTGGTAGCTTCTTTCCATGGTGTGATATCTGCCTCCCTATCCTTCAACTGCTCCATGCAGCAGTCATGAATTGCCTGCTGGTGAGCTTTGAAATGTTGGTGAAGCGTGCCTGGCTGCGTTTATCAAAGCATCCCCTCATCAGAGGGTTTCTCCAGCAGCCACTGTGCCTTTTGATTGTTCGTAAACATCAGTAGGCCTTCCAGCGCAACCGTGTCAAAACTTGGCTTTCAGTACGCTTTGAGGATTCGCCCAGGTAGGACGACGCATCGTCGTTCTCCTCCGCCTAAAGCGCATACTTCTCAGTGCCTACGTACATAATGTCTCCTTGCGCAGCGATGCGCAAACTCTGGTAAACAAGAACTCTACTGTTTCCGAATGGAAAGACGACGCTGAAGACGATAAGCAACGTTTCAAACGCGAGCAAACAACAGTTCTTTGTCACGGAAAAAAACTCTTGCTGGTAGTGTACGTGATCCACAACTCGCAAAAATGTACGCACTATGACGTACATGTACATGTATGCGGGATCTACTGAAAGCTGAACGTCAGAGCAACACCATGCGCCCAACTATCAGCCCGTACAACGAAGCATAGCGCGTACCTGTACAGTTTAGCGCATGCACTTGACTGGTGCCACGCAAGTACGCACTCTCACCTCAGCAAATTTTGACAGGTCCTGTCACGTGACTGAAGTGCCTACAGGCTCGGAGTGAGTCATAGTGACCGTCATACTCATCCTCCAGGGGCGTGCTCGGCCCCCCAACTAGGGGGGTGCACGGGAGCCGAGGGGAGCCCCCCGGCAATTTTCTGCAATTTGTTTGCAACCTTTCTTGAATTTTAGAGCATATTTGCATACATTACAATTGCAATTACCCAGATTGAAATTTTTTGGGGGGTGCACGTGCCCCCCGTGCCCATCGCCGAGCACGCGCCTGTCCTCGGTACTCATACAGTCATAGGATGAGGCTAAAATCAGCGAGGCTACAGAGCACAGTCATAAATGACTATGTCCTCGGTGATTCCCCTCCACGAGTCGGTACCCTGCACGTAGCAATCATCTGATCATGCATGCATGGTAATGGCACTAGCATTAGTTTGTATCGTTGTTGTTGTACTGAATAGGGCTTGAAAGTGCTACGTCACAGCATAGCAACAATTTCAAAAATTCAAAAACTGGATCCACTTGGATCCAGTTTTTGTATGGATCCAAGCACATTTCAAGCGGTCTTACCCACAGCATGGTGATGCAGCCAGTGAAACTGACTGATTTGGCTACTGGGGGCGGGGTTACAACTGGTCGCGAAATAAAAGTCACACCTGCATGAGACATGAGTGGGTTGCTATGCACCCACATACTTAGGCAATAGCAAAGAGTTAAGTCACACCTTAGTGGATCCAAAAATAGAAATCTGATGTCAACTTACTACTCCCTGGCCGTTTTGACGTCATCACTTTCAAGCCCTATTATGCTCTCCATTATGTCCATAATTATTATGCCAGCGGACATGCTACAGTCATTATGCTACAGTGATTATGCTGGAATTATGCCAACGATGGTGCTATACTGTATGCTGAGGTCCAATCCAATGGTATGGTGAACTCAGCACAAACAGCCCTTGGCGGATTATTCTCGATAAATTGCTGAATTTTGCTTTCCAATATGCCTACACTGTAAATTATGCCAGCGATTACATTATATTATGTACCATGAAGTATACTGAGAGTGCTTTTTCTGCATCGCCACGGCAAATTCTCGGGATTCGCCTTGGTTTTTCGGGATATGTCTTTTTTTTCCAAAATTCCATTTCCAACTTGTTTGAAATGATGAAGCGGAGGTTTTTCAGCGACAGTTCATGGAAGGAGTACTAGTAGATCCACTGGTACTACAGGCTATGGCAGCACAGAATCAATAACTGAATAAGGACAACTAGACACAGTCACTTGAAGTGCTCCCAGAACAATATCAAGACTTGTTTCGTGTACAGTGATTTTCGGGACAATCGACAGGGATTTCGGGATAGCGGGAGTTTATCCAAAAATGCGGGATAATCCTGAAAAACTCGGGATACTTGGCAGGTATGGGATTATTATACATTATGCTGGAATTACATGTATGCCAACGATGGTGCTATACTATGCTGCCATCCAATCCAATGGTATGGTGAACTCAGTACAAACAGTCCTTGGCGGATTATGATCGGTAAATTGCTGAATTTCCATAATGCTCAAATCATGCTACATTATGCTGGAATTATGCCAATGATGGTGCTATAATAATTGTACCCTTGCACTAGTGTTGCACTTTGCAACGTTACAACGACTGGCACCATGAGTCATGACTGCACGGCTTATAAGAGGTAACAGTCACCAGGTTATTGCTGGTAACATGCCTAATATGCCTGGAGCATAAATCTTCAGCCAGCATCGTAAGGTTATGCCCACCGTCTGGTCTAAGAAGACCTTTTACGCCAGGGCAGAATTTTAAAAAATTAAGAAAGAAATCCCAAGATTATGCTAATACTTTCCATTATGCCCACCCAAATTACGCCAGCGATTATGCCAGATTAGACATCCTTAGCAAAAGTACGATAACGCTAACTTTTACGGTACTCACTCCCAGCCGTGACAAAAGACGTTATCGGATAACGGAAAAACGTTACAGAGCTCAAAATAACGGGCCGACGTTCGTTATGGAAATTCTGCAAAAAATGCAAAAACTCGCATTGTTTTGTTAGGGCCTGGTCAGACTGCGGCAAAATCGAAATAATCCTAGGATTATAATCCGAATCTCCATAGTAACTTGCCGCCAGAGCGGCAAAAGCGAGAGTTGACGCTCCAAAAAAAAAGCAAGAATGGACCACGCTTTTCCGCTCCAAACAGGATTTGACGCTGATACGCCATTGACGCTGATAATCACTGATTTTTTCATCTCGATATCGAGGAGCTAATTGGCCACGGACAGCAACAAAACTCATAAGGATGGTTGCAAGGATTGCACTGAAGGTGTTGGCGATCCCCAAGGAGAAGGAATTTGACGTCGTTCGTGGAGATTACCACTTGACGCTCGAAATGAAGTTTGAATTTTCACTCTCCCCACATGTGTAGTGTGATCGCGATTCAAATGCTGGACGCTGTTCTGTTTTCGTCAGGCAACCAAAATTTGCCGCAGTCTGACCAGGCCCTAACTGGCGGGAGAT